ACAGGATGAGGGCTGGGAAGCCATCCATATTGGTCATTTGCAGTCTCTATACACCCTGAGACAAGAAATTTCCCAATGCTGAAGTAATGAGTCCCAGTTATAACTACTTCTAATAAAAAACATCCAATTTATTCCTGGAATAAACTTATGTTGCAGCGTTTTCCAGAAATACACTGCTTGATTCTGTTTGCTGGTATTTATTTACAACTTTTGCATTGGTATTCAAATGTGAGAGTGAGCAATGATCTAGTTTTTGAATGTCTAGTGGTGTTTGGTTCAAGAATCAATGTTATGCTTGTGCCATTGTGCCATAAAAAATATCTGGAAGCTTTTGATCTCCTTTTACACTTGAACCATTGAAATAGCATTGAAATGATCTGTTTTTGAGTTTTGGTCATTTCTCAGTTGAGAATGCCTGGGCTTGATACTTCTTTATTTTTATTTTTATGTTTTTGGTCTTTTTGAGACAGGGTCTCCCTGTAGTCTCAACTGACCTGGAACTCACTATGTAGACCAGGCTGGCCTTGAACTCACAGAGATCCACCTGCCTCTGCCTCCCAAGAGCTGGGATTAGAGTTATATGCCACCATGCTCGGCTTCTGATGCTTTCTTTAGAGAGAGTGAATCGGATAGCCTTTATTTCTTCTGCGGTAATTAAAAATATGTTCCTGCTTTTTAAAGACTCTTCTAGATATGTTCTTTTTAACGTTTTTGATTCATTTTTATTTTATGTGTATGAATGTTTTGCCTTCATGTATATAAGTGCACCTGCGTCATGAAATGCCCACGAAGGCCAGAAGAATGTTGGATCCCTGGAACTGTAGTTATGGACAGTTGATAGCCATCATATGGGTTCAGGAAAACAAACTGTGTCTTCTGTAAGAGCAGTAAATGATCTTAATCCCTGATCCATCTCTCTAGTACCTTAGATATGTTTTAAATTATTTATTTATTTATTTATTTATTTATTTTTATCATATATATGAGTGTTTTGCCTGTGGACCTGTGCATGCCATGTTCATAGAGGCCAGAAGAGGGTATTGGATCCCCTGGAACTAGAGTGATGGCTGTTAGCTACCATGTAGGTACTGGGAACCAAACTTAGGTCTTCTGCAAGAGCAGCCAATGCTCTTACCCACTCTGATTTTGATAATTTGGGGGGGTCTTTTTGAGACAGGGTCTCCCTGTAGCCCTAGGTGTCCTGGAACTCACTATGTAGACCAGGCTGGCCTTGAACTCACAGAGATCCGCCTGCCTCTGCCTCCGGAGGGCTGGGATTAAAGGCGTGTGCCACTATGCCAGGCGATAATTTTTTTTTAAAACAAATTATATAGGGCTTGGAAATAGGTCAGTTAATAAAGTGCTTGCCTTGTTAGCATAAAGATCTGTGTTCAATCACAGATCCAGGTGTAGTGACACACATTTGTAATCCCAGTGCTGGGGAGGCAGAAACAGATCCATTTCTGGGGTTTTCTGGAGAGATATCTCAGTGGTTAAGAGCATGGGTTGTTCTTACTCTAGGACCTAAGTTTGGTTTCCAACACCCAAATGGTGACTAACAACCATCCTTAACTCCAGTTGCTGGGAAGCCAATGCCTTCTTCTGACCTTCACAGGAATTGCACAAAATGGGTGCAATATGTTTGCCTTAAATATATGTAGGCAAAACATTCAAACACATAAAATAAAAATAAATTAAAAAAAATAAAGATGGGTGGCACCTGGGAACAATACCTGTGATTGTCCTCTGGCCTCCACACACATGCACACACATGAGAATGTACACTTGAACACATATATGAATCTGGAAGCACACAATCACACACACACACACACACACACACACACACACACACACCAAAACCAAAACCTCTAAATTATCCATTTCTCCTACATTTTCAAGTATATCTGCATCAAGGTAAATAAACTAGCCTTTTGTGAACCTTTAAACTTCCTCTAGTGTCTTCAGGTCCAAACCTCCACAACTCTAAGCTTCAGCTCTTCAAGTAGTTCCAGTTTCCACATCTGCCTGTATTGAAATATAAATCAGAGACCCACAAAGGTTCTGTATGGATGTCATAGGGCAGGTACATGTGAATACACAGCACTTGTGACAGGATGCACAAGACCTGGGCAAGCCCAAAATACACAAAATCCCAGCATGGAGGGAGGAGATGAGCACAAAGTCCCCATCTTAGCTGAAGATCTATTGGTAATTGATAGTTAGCTACTGTGAGAGGGAGAGTCATTCTTTAAGGATGTGACTCTGGGTAGGCTGACCAGGCTCCATAGGATGGACCAAACACATTTGAGAAACACAAATTAGATTTGACAGGCCTTAAAGAAATAGAGGACATGAAATGAGAGGAAGTAGAGAGGTGAGGGTGAATCTGAGATGGGGGAGGAAGTCTGAATATGATCAGAATACATTGTGTGAAATTCTCAGAGACTCAGTAAAAATATTACTTAAAAAGAGAAAGAGCCAGGCATGGTGGTGCACGCCTTTATTCCCAGCACTCGGGAGGCAGAGGCAGGCAGATCTCTGTGAGTTCAAGGCCAGCCTGGTCTACATAGTGAGTTCCAGGTCAGTTGGGACTACAGGGAGACCCTGTCTCAAAAAGACCAAAAAGAAAAAAAGATGTTTCAAAGACACACACACACACACACACACACACACACACACACACACACACCACACACACACACCTCCCTAAGAACGTCTGAGGCCATGCCTCTCACATTCTTGTCAAAAGGTCTGTTTCTATAAAGCTTTAGCCAATGGACTTTATGACTCTCTTTCCTGATTATTTTCATTTTTTCATTTTTTTTTTGTCTTTTTGAGACAGGGTCTCCCTGTAGCCCCAGCTGTCCTGGAACTCACTATGTAGACCAGCTGGCCTTGAACTCACAGAGATCCACCTGCCTCTGCCTCCCGAGTGCTGGGATTAAAGGTGTGTGCCACTATGCCTGGCTGATTATTTTCATTTTTAAAATTGTTGTGTGTATGTATAACATGTGTGCACTCCTGTGTAGGTGCAGGCATATGTGTCACTGAGTGGAAGTTAGAGGACAGTCACAGGTGTCAGCCATTGCCTTCCATCTTGCTCAAGAGAGTGTCTCTTTGCTGTTTGCTGTTGTGTATGTCATACCACCTGGCCCACAAGTTTCTGGGGACTCTCTTGTCTCCACCTCCCATCTCCTAAGAACACTGGGATTACAGATGCGTGCTATCAAGTCTGGCTTTACATGGGCTCTGGAGATTCAAACTGAGGTCCTCATGCTTGTGTGGCAAGTGGTTTGCCCACTGAGCCATCTCTGCAACCCCTGCTTACTTTCTTATTCATTGAGGACAGCATTCACAGTAATGCAAAATAAATCATGTTTGGGGGTGGTTGCCACATCCATGTACATGATCTTGACTCCTCAGTCCACTCTACTTCTCTATCCAGAGCAACTTGGGCACTGCACAATCCATAGAAGGGTATAGGGTGGCCCTAGCTGGACTCTGTTCTTACCTGTCTACTATCCAGATGCCATAATTATATATATATATATCAAGACTGGGTGGCTTAGACAATGCAATCTGATGCATACTCCAGAAGATTAGGATCAAGGCAGATTTAGTGTCTGGTGTTTTTTTTTTTTGTTTTTGTTTTTATTTTTTTTGGTTATTTTGAGACAAGGTCGCCCTGCAGCCCCAGTTGACCTGGAACTTGCTAGGTAGAGCAGGCTGGCCTTGATCTCACAGAGATATGCCTACCTCTGCCTTGAGTGCTGAGATTAAAGCCACCATTCTTGGCTTGAAGTTTCATTTTTTTAAATGTGTATGAGTGTTTTGCCTGTATGTATGTAAGTGCACCATGTGTATGCAATGCCTGTGGAGGTCAGAAGAAAATGTTGGATCTCCTGGAACTGGAGTTACAGATGATTGTTAGCTGCCATATAGGTGTTGGGAACCAATCCTGGGTCCTCTGCAAGAGCAGTCAGTGTTCTTAACTGTTGAGCCATCTCTCCAGCCCTGAGGGTTCACTTCTTGATTCATTGATAGCAAGTTCTTGCTGTGTGTTCACAAGGTGAAATCAGCAAGGAAACTGTTAAGAGTTCTTTTACAAGAGGTGATTCCTGAGATCTCTGTCTAATTTTCTCCCAAAGGACCCACCTGCAAACATCAACATCATTATTGGGCATTGTATTGCAATCTATGAATGTGTGTGTGTGTGTGTGTGTGTGTGTGTGTGTGTGTGTGTGTGTAACTAATGCCATAGGACCCACAGGCCTTTTGAAAGGGACAAGTGAAAGTCTGGTCAAGTTCTCAAACTTAGAGCTACTTCAATATTACGTGAAGGGTTTGTAAAACTGCAAATTACAGGGTCTCAATTTCCGAATTTTAAAATACAATAAAAAGCAAATATTGTTGGGGTGTAGCTCAATGATAGAACACTTGCCTAGCATGTGTGTGTGGCCCTGATTTCCATCCTCAGCACCACAAAAACCACCAACACCCAAACAGAATAGTTTCTGTGGGATGGAGAATCCGCACTTTAATTAAGTCCCCAGACGATGCTGAAGTTGTTGGTCTAAGTACCTCACTTTTTTTTTTTTTTTTTTGGTCTTTTTGAGACAGGGTCTCCCTGTAGCCCCAGCTGGCCTGGAACTCACTACTTAGACTAGGCTGGCCTCGAAGAGATCACCTGCCTCTGCCTCCCAAGTGCTAGGATTAAAGGCATGCGTTAACACGCCCGGCTGAGTACCTCCCTGTAAGAACAGTGATCTGGAGTTCTGAGAGCTGAGAGGTGCTCTAGGTCTCCCGGTGAGACACTCCAACAGTGTCCATCAGTGGAGGTTGAGCCCTTGAGGAAATAAGAGGACACAGCCGTCAAGAAATCACCACCTGCGGATGAAAGTTTAGGGACTACATCTCCCAGGAAGCCCCACGGCGGCTCGCAGGTGCTCCCTGGAGGCGGCCAGCGGGAATTGGGGGAATCTTCAGCCGAGCATCTGTGAGCGCAGAAAGCCGTGGCTTGCCGCGACGCTGGAGTCCAGCGCGAGCGAACCCCGGCGGGTGAGTTGGAGCTGCGGGCCTCGGACTCCTCTGCTTCCCATCTACCTAGTCTTCTCGAGTCGGGCGGGCGAGACGCGGGTCCCAGTGTCCTGGCGAGGGGACACGGCTGCCCCTGGGGACAGCTGCGCTGCGATCTCTGCCGCCGTGGCCCCGGGCCCCTGCGCAGCGGGTGGGGTACCCACCCGCAGACCCGCCCTATATGGCCAGCCCGGGAGCACAGGATGGTGCTGCAGGTGGCCGCGGCAGGTGGCCGCCCCTGCCCTCGGGCCCCAGGGTTTGGCGCAGCCGGGGACCAGGTGGCTCGGCAGCTGTGGCCCCGGTAAGCCCTTGACGCTGGGCAGGTGCGTGGGCGCCGGCGGGACTCCGGACCCGGGGTCGTCCGGAGGTGCAGTGCATGGCCAGGCACTGCTCAGTCCTCTGCCACCCTCGCGTGCTTCACCCGCCGGCTTCCTGCTCGGTGGTCGGGGGAGGGCTGCTGTGTTCAGGGTCGACTGCGGGGCCCCATCGCAGGGCTCCCGGGAACCCCGGGGAGCTGTGCGGATGCTGGTGCGTGTCCCCAAGATGCCCAGCCTGCTGTGAGTGCAACAGTATCCATCTCCTTTCGGAAAGGCCTTTGGAACAAAATTAATTTTATGTGCTTATTTATTTTTTTTTAACAAGTTTGACTCTGAATATTTTGATTTTGTGGGAGCTTCGTACGCTTGCACGCAAGTTTATATAATAAGCAGTATCCGCTTTGGGAAAAAAAAAAAAAAATACCGTGAAGGTGCTCTTCCTTGCCCTCTATCGGAAGAGTTCTGTCGGAGTAGTTGACATGCGTATCCATTAGTAACTGCGGTGGCTGGAGGCAAGAGATAAGGTGTTATTGAGTAAAGTCAAGACCGAACCCTTCTGATGAATTTTTGGTTTCAGAAGATTTGGTTATCCGGTTTCAAACACTGTTATTTCAACGTTTAAGATGGAGATGGAGGGAGGGGACAGAAGGTTGTCAATCCTAATAGTCCACAGAAAATAGCTTAGCGAGATTATTTCCCAAAGCAGCAAGTTTGTTTTTTTTGAAACTGTGGACCTCTGGCTGGCCAGGGACTCATTTGAGCCACCACACCCGTTACTTCATTCATTCATTGCCTCCCTAGGTTGCTCTGGCAGGCCTTGAACTTGCTGTGAGGCCCAGGGTAGACTCAAACTTGCTGCCCTCCTTCCACCTCCTGAATACTGGAAATGCTGGTGTGAGCCACCACACTTGACGAAAGGGAGCAAGTTTAAAGGCGCTGAGCCTCCTTCTAAGCCTGGCATCAGTTCTAATGCTAATTTTTCTAGGTGATTTGTTGAGTTGTTCCTGGTAGACAACATTATTGTTTGTTAAGAAGCACAATGTATCCCTTTCTAATTTTGTACCTATTTCTTGTCTTCTATTGGTCACTCTATAGTGTTCACATTAAAGGTTAAATAGGGAAATGTTTCCCCTGTCTATTCTGTAAGCATACTATTATGTTAAGTGAGTTTCTATTTGTATCAGATTTCTTGTTTACAAGTCCAGATGACAGGGCATGGTAGCGCATGCCTTTAATCCCAGCACTTGGGAGGCAGAGGCAGGCAGATCTTTGTGAGTTCAAGGCCAGCCTGGTCTACATAGTGAGTTCCAGGACAGCTGGGGCTACAAGGAGACCCTGTTTCAAAAAAGAAAAAAAAAAAAGTCCAGAATGGCTGTGTTTTTTTGTTTGTGTTTTTCCAAATGCTTTTATACAGTATGCATTGCACTGATGTAACCATGTAGGTTTTCTTCTTAAAATTTCTAGCACAATGATTATTTTGCTAGATTTTCTTACTAAAATGCTTGAATACTTTAAAATGCATTTTGGAGCAATGTGTGGTGACTCATGCTTGAAATTCTAGCACTTTAGGCTGAGGCAAGGAGTTGGTGAATTTGGGGCTAGCCTGTGCTACATAGCAAGACCCTGTCTCCAAAAGTTAAAAAAGCTAGCCAGGCTGGGCGTAGTGGCGCATGCCTTTAATCCCAGCACTTGGGAGGCAGAGGCAGGTGGATCTCTGTGAGTTCAAGGCCAGCCTAGTCTACGTAGTGAGTTTCAGGACAGCTGGGGCTACAGGGCTACAGGGAGACCCTGTCTCAAAAAGACCAAAAAACAAACAAACAAAAAAAGCTAGCCAGGTATGATGGTCTTTAATCCCAGCTTCTGGAAGGCAGACAGAGCTCTGTGAGATGGAGGCCAGCCTGGTCTACATAGTAAGTTCCAAACTAGCTACAGGGAGGCACTGGGTTTTTTAATAGAAGAAAGTTAAAGAAGAAAACAAAATGAAATGTACTTTTGGTTAGTCTAATAGATCTCCAAGTTAACCTCTTCTTTAGGGTTTGGTGTCTGTGAGTGGCACTGCTATATAGTTTTCTTCCCCCCATCCCATAATTAAGATTGTACTGTCCTTACTGATTGAGCCAGGAAACTTCCATCACTTTCTCTGCTCTAGAACAGAATTATCTGTTCCTAGAAATCTGGCAGAAGTTGACTGCAGACTCTCTGAACTGCTGCTGGTGTTTTTTAGGAGTTGGTATTAGTATCAACTACCTTTTCACTTTTCTCCCTGATTATTGATTTTTCTCAGGTCAACTATTTCTTCAGAGTCATTTTAGTACCCTTTGTTGTCTTAGGAAATCATTCACATTATTGATATTCAGTGTATATTAGCGTACGGTTACTAATTCTGTTGTCAGAAAATAGACTCATGTATTTATGATGTGTTATTCTTAATACTTATTAATGCTTTGTGGTTTCTTTTGTGTTCCCCTTTGTTGTTGGTATATGTGAACTGTACAATATATGTTTCATGATAGTTTCACATGTGTATATAACATTCTTTGTTCATGTCCACCTTTCCTTTTATTGGTCAGGCTTATTTTACTCATCTTTTCAAATAATCTATTTTTGGACTTATTAATTAATACTATTGACCTTTGTCATTTGGGGTGTAGGGGAAGGAGGCATAGCTCCCCACTGTCACCCTCAGCAGCCTAAAGAGTTCATCTAGAGTTTTAGGGACCTCAACTCAGGACCAAAACCTCCTCAAGTAAGAGGTGCAGCTCACAGTTTTTTTTCAGTAGTCATTTATAGGATTTTGGTGGCCTTTGAAGTTACTGTCTTACCACCGGGTGGTTCTCAAGGGGCACCTGGCAAGATTACAGTTGATAAGGTAAAAGTCTAGCTCAGAGGGACTGGGAAGATAGGATGTCTTTACTGTAAACAAAGTTAAGTTTTGTTTGAGATTCTTGGACTATGTCTAGGCGTAGGAATGAAGCCCTGCCCAAGGTCTTATACATTCAGGTCTTAAGCCTGGCTTACTGCTGTTTTAGCATAAAGTGTATGAATTAGCTCTACATCTGCAGCCTTTGTGGTAGGTAATTGTGCTGGGATTCTTGCCTCTCAGCTGGCAAGAGATTTTAATTTGACTCTGGGGTGACAGCCTCCTTTTTCCGCTCCTGTCCCCCAAAGCCTCCCTGTCTTTCTGTCCTGCCTTACTGCCATTCATCACCAAGGATAGAAACTATTTTGATTTCTAACACATTAGATGAGTTTTGCCTGCATTTCTGCTTTGTATGAATAGCGATTCTCTGCCCTTCTGGACTTGGCTTCCTTCCATTGGCGTCACATTTGTGAAGTTTGCCTGTGTTCTTTAGAGATGATGTGGTTTGTCATTCTTATTGCTGTATATATTTCTGTTGTGTTGTTGCACTGACTTTTCCTAGGGATGTGAACAGTCATCTATTCGAGATAGGGCACCAAGAACAGACCAAAGCATGATTCCAAAAGTGTCCAACTACGCAAACCAATGAATTGGGCTTAGTTACAGAGTATGGGTGAACGGTTGCTTACAGGAGTGTAGGTGACCTCAAAGTAGCTATACCACCACAAACTTCCAGTCCATCATGAATCATGGCCTCATAGAAGTTGTATCGTGGAGGCCCCTTTCAATGAACACTCCACTTCTTATATAATATAGTCTTTCCTATATAATATAGTCTTTCACTGCAGCTGGAAGAAGCAGGAAGGACAAACAGGTGGACAAACAGGGAGAGGATCCCATGACCCTCCCTTTCTCCATTCAAATGGAATGTCAGAAGCTCCATTGCCATCACCTTGCACCTGGCTATCACTATACTGTTTTGCTCATTAGCTGTCATGACGACCAAGCGAAGTTATTCTGTATTCCAAAATGGCAGTGGGGTGAACATGTTGTACACAGAGGAAAAGGGCCATGCTGCACATGTGTTAACATTCATCAGGTGAATAGCCACTCTGCCTTGATTAACTTCGGTTGTTTGTTGTTTAGGACTGTTAGGAATAGTGCTGTTGTAAACATTCTAGTACTTGCCCCCCCCTTTTTTTTTGAATGAATGCATTTTTGTTGAGCACAAATCCAGGAGTGGAACTGCTTGGTGATAGAGTGTGAATACACTCAGCTTTAGTCTCTGTCTGACTGTTAATGGACAGTTGTGAGCTGCTGTGTGGGTGCTGGAAACTGAACCTAGGTCTTCTATAAGAACAAACAGTACCCTTAACCTCTGATCTATCCAGCCCCAAGAAGAATTTTTAAAATTTGCCTTTCCATGTGAAGACTCCTGACTGGGTATAGGATTCTAGGCTGAAATCTGGTGCATTCTGAAGATAATGTTCCATTTTCTGCTGGCATCTAATCAGTCTGGTTTCCAGATTTGTAGTTAATCTGATCATTTTCTCTAGAGCTTAAAATTTTTGGTTCCCCTTAGTGCTTTAAAATTCTACCACTATGTGTGTATAAGGTGCACTTTTTAAACTTTAAAAATAAGGAGTGAGCTGGCATTTAACTCACAGAGATCCACCTGCCTCTGCCTCCCCAAGCGCTGGGATTAAAGGCATGTGCCACTATGTGTATGATTGTTCTTTTTTGAGGGGGATTCTGGGGGAAACCTTACTTCTCATCTCTTAAGCCTCACTTTCTTTTTTTCGGCC